CTCCTCCATCAGGTGCTTCTGGGTCTGACTAGTGGGCCAAATCGTAGCAGACGTGTGGAAACAGGCTAACATAGTTCCAATCTACAAAAGTGGCAGCAGGGAAGACCTCCTCAATTATAGACCTGTATCATTGACAAGTGTAATAGTGAAAGTATTGGAAAAACTAATCAAAACTAAATGGGTAGAACATCTGGAGAGAAATGATATAATATCAGACAGACAGTATGGTTTTCGAGCTGGAAGATCCTGTGTATCGAATTTACTCAGTTTCTATGATCGAGCCACAGAGATATTACAGGAAAGAGATGGTTGGGTTGACTGCATCTATCTGGACCTAAAAAAGGCTTTCGACAGAGTTCCACATAAGAGGTTGTTCTGGAAACTGGAAAATATTGGAGGGGTGACAGGTAAGCTTCTAACATGGATGAAAAAATTTCTGACTGATAGAAAAATGAGGGCAGTAATCAGAGGCAATGTATCGGAATGGAGAAATGTTACAAGTGGAGTTCCACAGGGTTCAGTTCTTGCACCAGTGATGTTTATTGTCTACATAAATGATCTACCAGTTGGTATACAGAATTATATGAACATGTTTGCTGATGATGCTAAGATAATAGGAAGGATAAGAAATTTAGATGATTGTCATGCCCTTCAAGAAGAAAATAAGTATATGGAGCACCACTTGGCAAATGGAATTTAATGTTAATAAATGTCATGTTATGGAATGGGGAATAGAGAACATAGACCCCACACAACCTATATATATTATGTGAGAAATCTTTAAAGAATTCTGATAAAGAAAGAGATCTAAGGGTGGTTCTAGATAGAAAACTATCACTTGAGGACCACATAAAGAATATTGTGCAAGGAGCCTATGCTATGCTTTCTAACTTCAGAATTGCTTTTAAATACAGGGATGGCGATATACTAAAGAAATTGTTCATGACTTTTGTTAGGCCAAAGCTAGAATATGCAGCTGTTGTGTGGTGCCCATATCTTAAGAAGCACATCAATAAACTGGAAAAGGTGCAAAGACATGCTACTAAGTGGCTCCAAGAATTGAAGGGCAAGAGCTACGAGGAAAGGTTAGAAGCATTAAATATGCCAAAACTAGAAAACAGGACTGTTGAAAACAGAACAGACTGGAGGACTGTTGTTTCCTGTCTGGCTTCTGTTGGAGCCGGGTGCCTGGATGGTTGCCGTGGACCTCCAGGTCAATTCTTGGCACATTCCTCTCCAGTTTTCTGGGACTGGCACAGTTGGTGGTGGGGCTTCAGGCTTACCTCTTTTGTGGCCTTCCCTATTTTGTAATTGGCACTTGGTGTATTTAAGCATCTTTACCGGATCTTGGTGCCCTGTTTGAGTCTGCTTGAGATTCGATGTCTGGCCTACCTCAACGACTGGCTGGTGTGGGCTCCCAGTCGGTCCGCTTGTCTGCTCGCCAGGGGCGTGGTTCTTTCCAGATTGTTGGGATTGGTTTCCTGGTGATCTGGAGGCTGTTCCATCTGTTTCCATCCCGGGTTTGGACCTGTCTGGGTCTTGTTTAGGGCTATTGGGCCGCTTCTTGTCTTTCCCTCCAGAAGTGTTGCTGCGGCTGTGGTCCCGCCTTTGGTTGTTCGTGAGGGGAGTCCCGGGCTGCTCGGCAGTTGCTCGAGCAGTTGTGCGGGAGTCTGAACTTCAATGTGCTGGTCTGCCCACGGGGTCAGGTTTGGCTTCGCCATCTGTTTGGTTCCTTCGAAGACTCCCCTTCCGCCTCTCTTGCAATTGTTGGGTTTGTTCCTCCGAGGATCTTGTGTTGGTGCTGCGTCACCAGCTTCCTCTTTGGGGTTTTCGGGGTTTCGTGTCTTGGCACCTCCCCGAGCCTTCGCTCGATGTGTTCACGGATGGGTCATCTCTCGGCTGGGGTTTTGTGACCAGTGCTCACCAGGTCGGTCGGGAATGGTAGGGTCTGTTCTTCTGTCGGGCTAACAGCACGGTTCGGGAGTTCGTGACTGTCTGGTTTGCACTTCGGAAGGTTTGGGTCACTCGGTGCGCTACCATTCAGCTCCATTCGGACTGTTCTCTGGTGATTCTTTGCCGGAACCACAGGGTTTCTCCTAGGTGTTTGACCTTTGGGGTAGGTCCCTTAGAGTGGCTTGTTTGCTGGATTCTCGGGGTTTGGCTAACCGTGAGGTTCATGTCCAAGGTGTGTCCTGCGTCCTGGCGGACAGCTGTCTCGGTTCCTTCATCTGTTCGCGGATTGGCCAGTCATCGCCGACTCGTTTTATTGGCTCTGCCGGCCATATGGACTCCTGGCCATAGACGTCTTCGAGTCGGCGTGGTCTAAGCGTCACCCATTCTATGTGGCGCCCTTACCCGCCTGCGAGGCATTCACAGTGGATGCCTTTCGGCAGGACTGATCGAGGTAGGGGTACCTGTTCCTCTTCTCCCGGTCCAGCTGTTGCTTCAGGTTCTGGCTCGGTTGGAGCCCATTCCCATGAGAGTAGTCCTTATGGTCCCTTGGTGGCTGGCTCAGCTTTAAGCTTTATTTTCAGACGCTGCTTGATAGGTGTCCGAACCTGGGGCGTTTTCCCGCGGCTCCGCCCCTTTCATCAGGTCAGACCGGTCCTGTACGTGGCTGGTTCAACCTTCTCCTTGGCTCTTCGCGTCTAGTATTTTGACGTGGGTATCACCATCTTTGTGGTAATCAGGTGGCTCTGTTGATGATGTCCCACCTGCGAGCTTCGTCTCGGCGACAGTATAACATTCCTGGTGTTTCTATGCACTTTTTCTTGCTCTTCGTAGGTTGTCTTCTCTTTCGCATCGGGTTGTCTTGTCCTTTCTTGGGTTTTCAGGACTTCAGTTTTTTTATGTTTCTTACTGTCGCCTCATTTTGTGCAGCGCTGGCAGAGCCGCTCCGGCTTGTGTTCAGGGTGGACGTCACATCTGCCCCGTTTTGTATGCTTTCTCGTGTTTTGTTTCACCTCCGGCCTGCTCATGCGCCTCCTGAGCTGTCCTGGTCCTTGATCAGGGTGCCTTCTTATCTTCTACACAGTTTGTGGTAGCCCCTTCAGTTCAGGTTTATGCTCCTTTTGTTACTGGTGGTAGGTTTGTACGTTTGCAGCCTTTCTCCGTCCTTCTGGCGACTGTCAAGACGGCTGCTTTCCGGATGGTTTTTTGTTTTTTTTATGCTTGATTGGTTTGGCCGGGGATGCGTCCTGTGTTGTACGGTTGCGTTTTTTTGCCGTTACCTTCGTACCGTGTCTGGGGATATGCTTTGGGTTGATTCAGTTCCCCTCATTCCCTGTTTCAGGGCTCGGGTCTCCCAGGTCATCTGCAGAGTTTTTAAGTATTCCAACTTGCAGTCTGTCCTTGCGCCCATGCTGTTCGGACGTTTGCAGCTTATGCTGCTGTGCTGGTTACGTCTAGGGCTCATTTCAGGCGCAGGGATTTGAGGGTCACACAGGTTCTTGGCCGCCCATTCTTTATGCGCATCTGCTCCTGTGTGTTTTTGTTGCCTTGGGTAGCAGGTTGCAGCCTGTTGTCTCGGCTTCGCGTTGCGGAGTTTGTGGCGGCCGCCTCCCGGGTCAGCCCTTTCTTTTCCTTCTCTTTGGGTATGAAGCTCCAGGGAGTCATAGTGGCTCCCCACAGAAAACCAGTGTTGAATGTAATGAAACACCATTTTCTGGGTGAGCCCCGGAGGCTCCCTGGCAACCCTCCCTCCCACTGGTCGGTGGTTTTTTCACGTTGGTTGAAGCTTAGCTTCCGAACTGATGCTAGTTAGCCGGCACGGTAGGTCCGGGGCTCCCCCTCCCCCTCTCGGGGCGAGGAGGGCTGCGTGGATGATTGGCGCGGCAGTAAAGTGTGATGTTTCCTTGTTTGCTTGTTTCCTTGGGATTGTAGGGAGTTTCTAACTCTCTGTTAGTTTTTTTTTTTTTTAGTTTTTTACTATGTGGGGTTTGTTTTGTTATGCCTACCTTTCTGGGTGCCTAACCCCAGTCGATGGCAGATAAGGAAAACCCCAACCACATGGGGATTTTCCAGGGCCATTGCTCCCTGAAACCTCTCTGAAAGGGCCAGGTTCTGGTGCTGGTCCCTGGTAGGTCTGAACCCCTTAGCTAATGTCCCGGTCTAATATAACATACATTTGCCCGATAAGCTCCAGAGAGCCTCCGGGGCTCACCCAGAAAATGGCGTTTCATTACATTCAACGCTGTATTTTTTAGACGCTCATATCATCACACACACATGCATCTTGAAGAGAAGAATTCTTCAGGGTTTAAAGCTTCTAAGGATTAGCATACACATTTGCTGGCCAGTAATTTTCTACTGAAGCTGTCACACATGTTTATCTCCTGAGATGACAAGCATATGTCAGTGTTTAAAGCTAATAAGGACTGACATATGCTCTTGCTGGGTGGTAATGCTTCATGGGTTTTTAAGCTGAAGCCCATACATATTTTCTACTCACTTATTCCCTGAGCGATGAAGGTGCCTAAAAGTGTTAATACTCACACAACAGAAATATTATTTCTTTCAAGAAGTAAAATTTCTATTGTATGATTATCACCTTTTTTACAAGAGAAACATCACTATATTGATACCACCACTTTTGCAAAAGTGGTGGTACTCAGAGATGTTCCCTATGTATGAGAGGTGGCACTTATGCAACCAAGATGCTTCTCTTGTAGCATATAGTGTGTTAACATAGCGGTGATACATCTCTTTTATCAGAGTGATGCTCTTGTAGCAGTGATACTGCTCATACTCTCCTGTATGAGCACCTTGTCTGCTACTAGTAAGCCTTCAGCACTTGAGAAATTTTAACCATTACTCTGCTACACCTATTATATCTCACTATAAGTGCTGTGTTATCATTCTTTCATTGCAAATTAATCAGTACTGTGTAAGTTTTGATTATGAATGAACAAGAATCATATTACATATATGTTTTAGTTATTATTATTGACCTGCATCTGCACATGAAACCATATTACAAAGGGTTTTCTCTAATTATGTAGGTTGTTATACGTGTCTATTGACTCCAACACTGAAGATGTTGGTCCAGTGCACAACTACCGCCCAATGGTAGCCGTCTACTACATCATTTACATCATCATCATTGCCTTCTTCATGGTTAACATCTTCGTTGGTTTTGTTATCGTCACATTCCAGAGCGAGGGTGAACAAGAGTACAAGAATTGTTGCCTGGATAAAAATCAGGTATGTAACAATATGCAGGAGGCAGATAAACCTTTGCATATATTTAATAGAATGTTAATGAAAAATCTTTGTTTTAACTGAATGTACTGTATGTTATGTGAACACCGAAAGTTGTAAAAGTGAAATGCACAATTTCGGAATGTTTAATATCTCATTACTCGGCCCTTCAAAAAGTACTTTTAGAGTAATATCAACCCTTCAATTGCGAGACACAACCGGAGATGTGATAATTATTTTAAGTGGGAGAACTCATGGAAATTTTTTTTATTCTTAATAACTCGATAATAAAAATTAAACAGATCCTCCTCTTCCTTACTATTAGTATATGTATGTCACTTTAAATCAGAAATATAGAACAAGTGTTTATTATAAAGAAATGCCTTAACCCTTAACATGCTAGGGGTATAATATCCTTTCTTCCCCCACAGGCGCATGTAATTTTGAAAAAAACAAAAATATTTTTTCTTCCTAACCTGTTAATTTGTGTTCACTGATCACGGGAAAAATAATAAAAAAATCGTAAGTGGCATATATTGCCCGCTATAGGGCGGGGAAGTCTGGCAAAAAATAGGCATCCTGCACCCAGTGGGTGCAGGATGCTCTTGCGGCTTACCTCTTGCACAACCCAGATTTTGCTTTTGTGATGGATCTGCGTTCCTTCATGTATAGATCTTTGTGTCCTTACTGGGTTCGTTATGAAGTTCCAGAATAGTCCTAGTTAGCAGACTGCCCTTTCTTCTCTTTGGAGTCATGGCATAAGTTCTGTCGGTCCTGCATGCTTGAGTTGCGGGAGGTTCAGATGGTGTTGCAGATTTTCCTGGGGCCGCATTAGTGCATCTCAGTGAGTGTTTGTTCCACCCTGCCCTTCTGTGGGATATTGGTGTGATGCAGCTTCATGTGCAGGTTTCTTCTCTTTCGGCTGCATTGGTCGCGGAGGACTTGCGTGCGCGCGGTGTGTGCGTTGTCTGCGCTGTTGAAGCTGTTTGCCCTGCTCCTGTGGGATGAGGTTTCGCAATTCTTTGCTTCTCGGTTCACGTGTTGGCAGGCGGTGCTTGCTTCTACCTTGGAATCTGCTTGGGCCCTGGCTCTTAGACTGTCTTCACCCTTTTGTCTGTTGCTGTTTGCAGAGTCTGCGGTGAAGCAGTATCTGCAAGTGGCTTCAGCTAGTTGCCGTCTTATGTCGGAATTGTTGGTCCTCATGGGGCTCATGGGGGGGCCGTCCTGGAGGGGGTTGTGCCAAGGATTGGGGTTCTTACTCTCATGGTAGGCCAGTGATGTCAGATTTGCCTCCGGCACAGCCTTCGGTGCAGTCTGTTTCTGTTCTGCACGGGGATCGCTCTTTGCGTCGTTTGGGTGCTTGTAAGGTGCGTCGGGCCTTTTGCAGTTCGTCCCATTGACGTGGTGGTGGGGGAAAGGCTTCCTCTGTTTTCATGCACCTGGTCCCACGATTCGTGGGCCTTTCAGGTTGTTTCGTGCAGCCTGTGGTGGCATTGGGTGGCTCCTCCTCCTTTGGAGAGTTTGGGGCTGGCAGGGCGGGCGTCTTCTCCTGCACTCTGTTGAGTCATCTCAGAGTGGGGTCACTTGGGCTTGATCGAAACGTCCTAGTCCCTCAGGTGGATCTCCTGCCTGTTTCCGGTCCTGAAACGGGACTGTGCGGACCTCTCGTTTATTCTAAACTTGTCTCATCTGAACTCATGGGTTTATTGCCCTTCTTTTCTTATGACTACTCTGTCCCAGGTCTGTCTTCTGTTGGAGCAGGGCACTTGGATGGTGTCCCTGGACCTCCAGGATGGGTATTGGCATGCCCTGATTCATCTGCAGTTCAGGGACTGGCTCGGTTTTGTGGGACGTCAAGGTTACCACTTTCGTTGCCTTCCATTTGGCTTGAATTTGGTGCCTAGCATTATCACTCACCTTACTCGGGTCGTGGTGGCCCGCCTGCATCTGTTAGGTGTTTGGGTTCGGTCGATGACTGGCTGGTTTGGGTTCCCAACCAGTCCGCATGTCTGCTCGCCAGGGAATTGGTTCTTTCCCAGCTTGCCAGGTTCGGGTTCTTGGTTCGGTCTTCTCTCTCAGGTTCGATCTTGGCTGGGTCTAGTGTGGGACACTCGGGTTGCTTTCTTCTCTCTTCCTCCGTCAGCTCTGCTTCATCTGTTTCTGAGGGGCTCTCGGAAAACGCGGCGGTTGCCCGAGGGTTTGTGCGGGAGCTTGAACTTTGCCATGATAGTCTACCCATCGGGTCAGGTGTGGCTTCGTCGGCTGTTCTGGATCCTTCGGGGATGTCCCTTTCACCTCTCTCGTGACCGATGGGTTCGGCCTCCGGGGGCCTTGCGTCAGTTTCTGCATCGCTGGTTTCCTCTTCGGGTTTTTCAGGGTTCAGTCCCTTGGTGCCTACCCTATCCCTCACTTGATGTGTTCACGGATGCGTCGTCTCTTGGCTGGGGGCTTTGTGACCAGTGCTCACCAGGCCGGCCAGGAGTGGTGGGTTCCGTCTCTCCGTCGGGCTCACAGCACGGTGCAGGAGTTTGCGGCTGTGTGGATGTCACTCCGGAGGATTCAGGTCTCTTGCGGATCGACGGTCTGGCTCCATTTGGATTGTTCCATGGTGGTTTATTGCCTGAATCACAGGGGTTTGATGTAGTCTTTGACTCTTTGGGGCTGGTCGCTTTGGATGACTCGTCTGCTGAGTTCTCGGGGTTTGGCTCTCCTGGCGGTTCATGTTCAGGGGGTTGATGCGAGGCCATCAGGGTCAATGCCTTCAGGCAGGACTGGGCGAGGTGAGGGTTACTTGTACCTCTTCCCCCCAGTTCAGCTGTTTCTCCAAGTCCTGGCTCGCTTGGAGACTTACCAGGGAAGAGTAGCCCTCTTGGCTCCTTGGTTGCCCGTCCAGCATTGTTTTCAGGCGCGGCTTGCTCGGTGTCCAAACCCAAGGGTCTTTCCGCTTCTCCGCCTCTTTCAGTAGATCAGTCCTGCATGTTACGAGGCTGGTTCACTCTTCTTCTCGAGTCTTCGCGTCTAGTCTTTCTGACTCGTGTTTATCACCATTTGTATGGGGCGCAGGTGGCTTCGTTGTTGATCTCCCATCTGCGTGCTTAATCTCGGCTGCAGTATGAGGTTTCCTGGCGGTCCTTCCGATTTTTCCTATCAATGCGTAGGTGTACTTCAGACTCTGATAGGGTTGTTTTGTCCTTCCTGTCGTGGTTAGTTCAGGATCGCCATCTTATGTCAAATACTGTTGCCTCATATTGTGCAGTGCTGGTGAGTTGCTCCAGCTTGCCTTCGGTATTGATGTTACGTCTGCTCCGTTCCGCAAGTTGTGTTATGCATTGTTTCACCTCCGGCCTACTCATGCATCGGTTTGTGATGGCTCCTTCAGTTCAGGATTGTTTTTCCAAGTTTTTTTCCTGATGGCATTGGCCTCTGGGGGTCCGGGCGGGAAGCTTCATGCTCTCCTCCAGCACAGGGATTTCTGCTCTTTTGATCCTGGTGGTAGGTTTGTTTGGTTGCAGCTTCAGACTAGGGATTCAGACTAGACAAGTCCAGAATTAATCACACATCCGCACAGTCCCGTTTCGGAACTGAAAAACAGGTGGGAAACCCACCTGAGGGACGTTGTCGTTTTGACCACACCCAAGCAAACCCACTACACACCTGAAAGAACACCTGAAGGTAAGAGAATTAATGTTTGAAAACCCTCGAGATATTGACATAATGGCATTGCAGCTCTGGAATCAAGGTAATATGCTGAGAATTTTAAATGCCTACAGCCCACCAGCAAGCAACACATGGACAAAGGAAGAACTGGATGATAAACGAGAGGGCTTCATAATGGTCTTGAGAGAGATTATGGCAAGAGCTGACAAAGATAAATCCCAATTGTTGGTACTGGAGGACTTCAACTTTAAGGCAATAGACTGGGAGGCCTACGAGGCAAGAACAGAGGACATTTGGACAGGCAGATTTGTAAACCTCATTTTGGAAACATTCAAGTATCAACACGTCAAGCAGGCCACAAGATTGAGGGAAGGGGATGTTCTGTCAGTACTGGATCTAGTATTCACCAGGAAAGAAGAAGAGATATTTGACATCCAGTACCTTCCTCACATGGGAAAGAGTGATCACGTCCTCTTGGACATTAAATACGCTATGTGATATAATCTAGTAGAGAATGGGGACAGTGAAACAGTTGTTAAACTCGATTTCAAGAGGAACTTAGACATTTTTTTCTTGGGTATAATTGGACAGACTTGTTGCTAGGCAAGGAAGTAAAGGAAGTATGCCAAATTTTGAAAAATATATGATGAAGGCACACAAACATTCATACCAAAAGAGACATGCAGACCTAGGAAACAGGGTTGGTTCAACAGAAATTACGAGAGAGCCAGAGATCAAAAGACACAAGCATGGAATCATTATAGAAAGAGGCCAAACCCCCAAACATACCAGCGATACAAAGATGCAAGAAACAACTACACGTCAGTAAGGAGAGAGAGGCAGAGAGGAACTTTGAGAACGGTATGGCAGACAAATGTAATTCAGATCCAGGCCTTTTCTATAAAATCATTAACCCTTGTGTTGCTCAGGGCGAATTAGCATTTGTCACCCACAGGCGCATACCAGAAAAAATATATATATATATATTTTTTCTTCTAAACCTGTTAATTTGAACAAATTAGATACAGTACAGTATTTGAACAAATTGTGTAGTGTAGTGTCCTGTTAATTTGTGTTCTCTGATCATGGGAAAATAATAAACAAATCATAAGTGGCATATATTGCCCACTATAGGGCGGGGAAGTCTGGCAAAAAACAAGCGCTGACTCAGCGTGTGTCCCAGACGGTCTGTTGCTCCCAGCTGTCAGGCAGGAGTGGCCACAAAGAGATAATTACCTAATTATTTCAATGTCTCTGATTGATTTTTCATAACTTCAATTATTTTGCGAAGATAGTGCCATAGATGTTCCTGACTGTGATAAAGACTATGTACAACGTTCATATAT